GGGTTTCCATTTCTCCAGAATTTCTGTCTGGCGAACCTGCCTTAACTCTCGAATCTGGAACGGAACAAGTGACCAATTAATATTGATCGCTTGTTACGTCACAGAAGCATGTCCAATTTCGTTCCAGTAGTGAATTTTGTTACAGGAAGGGGTTGAAGAAAGGTAAGAGACGTTTCTATTGCTTATTGATATCTAACCTATGATAATAAAAAAATCCAATGGTGTGTATCGTTTCTATGGAAGGCGCTGCGTGTTCCGCAATGGTTTCGCAGGTCCTAAGAACGACCAGGAGTCTCATTTCCTTGGTTCTGGAGACCTTGAATGAAAATGTTTTCCCCCCGTCCCCCCTCCTCCCGACTCCCATCCGTAATCAGTAGTGGCCACATCACTACTCTTCTCGAGCTTCTTAACCTTTGCAGAAAAGTGGTCCTTGTTTGCTGCAATATAATATGCAATACAATAGAATTCCATAAATTTCTTTCTTATTCAGAGCTGAAAACATCTGGTAATACAGGAAACATATCACAGCAACTCAGGAAGAAAAGACTAACCTAATGCAATGAACTGGGAATGTAATATACTTTGTGCCCCAAAGTCATAAGCCTGGTATGACATTGCACATTAACACTTCCACTCCCCTGTTGCAGCTGATATACAATTTTATTCTAATTTTGAGGCTTTTGAAAATAGTAGTAGCAAGTTTTAAAGTTTTATCTTCCTTGAACTCCCTAGGTTTCCTCTCGCCAATGCTGGAGCTCTGCATTCGTACGGTCATGTTATATGGAAGACGTATGCTCATATCGGTCTGAGAGGATGCGTGTAGCCGGAGAGAGTTGCATTCATTTTATTAATACATTAGATATACAGTTTCATGCTACCTATGCTTCAAAAACGGACGTTCTATATCTGCTTTTTTTTATCACTTCGGTACACTAGCTTGCGGATGGAAAGATCGTAAACGTTTATTTTCCTCGTTGTAAAAGATGGATACGGGAAAAGCCTCCATTTCTAATTGCTGCATGGACGTGGTCCCTTCATCACTACTTCATCATTCCAATAGACAGGTTCCCAGTAGATCGTCAGCGCGATCGAAGCATCGAATGAAAGAGGAAATTGGCTGGAAGGAAGCTCACGCAGTGAAGTCTTCAAGTTAAACAGCCTCTTTTATATCCCTCCCGCCCCACATCCTCTTTACAAGTGTATTTACTTCATACAATTTTTATTTCGAGGGAATAGATACCGTTTTAAAATCGATGGGAGAGGAGTAGACCTAAACCACTCCCGAGGTATCAGATGACAACGCCGTGCCACAGGCCAAAGCGAATTCCAAGTAACCATCCCAAGTCATCCTTCAAGTGATGAAAAATAGCCTAGAGCGACAGTTGAAGCCAAATTACATAATTAAAAAAAAACGCATGCTCAAAAATAGACAAAGAACTGAGCAGTAGAGAGGCAACCGGCTGAAGATCCCTTCATGATCTTCATGAACTTCATGATGGCCCTGTCGAAACTCCGACATGAGTCGTCACGTATTATATCCTAAATTAAGGGGAACTGAGACCTTCCGACCGTAAGGAATTCGCCGTGTTCGGCGGGCGGGAATTTCGAGGAACGAACAAGGAAAGAGGCGACAATATCCACTTAAGCTCGTGGAGAGCACTCAATTTTTTCTTGAATTTGCGTAAACTGATAAGGGGCATCAAAGAGTCTTGTGAGGCGAAAGTCCAATTCCCTCCTCGTGCTTTGACAGATCCCCCCGTCCCCCCTCCTCCCGACTCCCATCCGTAGTCGGATGTCATTAAATGTCGACGACATCCTCCCGTCTTTTCGAAGCGGATCCAAAAAAAATTCAAATGAACTATGATGTTTCCTCTGGAAACATCATAGGCCAGATGCATTCCGGAATGAAAAGGAAAAAAACCGGAAAGGGGACCTGAATATCCCACCCGGCACTCATCGCAAATTCGGAACTCACCTGAAAACCGCTTTTACGGCGAAGTGGTGCATCGTCAATATCAATACAAATAACACTTATCTCGCCGGAACACTTCGCGAGTGCGTCCTTTTTCTGAGTGGCTCTCTACGATGACGTTTCTCTCACCCCGTGACGTCACATTCGTTGAGCCTGTTGAGCTCCTTCACAACACTTATGTTCCCCTGACGGCTGCTTGCCCAAGAATGACGTCATTTAATGACGTCATGATGAGCGCCGACGGAATAGTGTCTCCTTTATCCTCTTGAATCCCGACCACTTTCTCGGTTGAATTATTTGTTTCTCATGCCTCATGATGCATCGAAGATCCTCACACGACAGAATATTGATACTGACCTTGACGAGGGCAGAGGTCCATGAATCCGGACAGTTGGATGAAGTCCGACCAATTTGTCGTCATTCTGTTTCACCTCGCCTTCACCTCACCGGAGGAATTCTCTGATGCAGTTTCTCTGGATTTTTCTGAAGGACTCGACAATGGTTTCCGAGGACTTCATCTTCCCGATGCTCCCAGCATCGGACATGGAGTTTGCATCGACGTATCCATCCTCTGCGAAGAATCTCATTTTCTTCTGCGCCTGACAAATGTTGCTGTTAGCTTCTTGAGCTCTTTAACTCGCATCGTCCCCGCGATATTCCACGAGTTTGATGCATACAGGCCAAAGAAATCGTTTTGTACGGTCCATTTGCCGCCATTGGCAATTAAATAGGAATCGATGACGATCCACTGCACCGATCTTGGATTTGTTCGTTTCCAACGACAAGAGGGCAAACACTTTCAATATAACCTTTCTCTGCCTCCGCTTGCAATTATTAATTGGCTCCGGGCCATGAATAATTGCAAGCGAGAAAAATATGGTTTGTCGTCTATCTATTCTGCTGCTGCCATCTTTCCATCTTCACGTACAACAAAATCTGAAGTAATCTCGATGGCTCGAGGTCTCTCTTGGCTTCGTCTTGCCTCAAGAGCGATCGAAGAGTTGGATTTTGCAAGTGCAGTTTTGGGAAACCGGAATAAAAAATACTTGAGAGGCCCGCGGGGAATTTACTGGCCTTCATCCCGCAGTCCGGAAATCTGAACATTAACTTCAGGGACTTGGATTGAAGGACACGAGCAGCATTCACGTAGAACATATAGAGTTCTGGGTAAGGGATCTCAGGTAAGGAATCATAGGGACCATCCCAAAGTTGCCACAGGAAGGTTGCCACAGGACGGTTGCCACAGGACACTGCGTTGTCCTCAGAATTCATGGAGACACGAAGTCCTGCAAGAGATGTCCATAAGACCTCCCAAGGATGTACCGATGCTCGTGAGAGATTCCCGACCGCGCGTGTTCCCTCCAGAATGATGAAACAAGGTCGTCGGCACAAATGGAGAGTGTGTAGAGAGTACGTGACCAGTTACAGATGTGCAGATTCGTCCCTTCGCATGAACTATGTGACTGTTACACCAAAACTGCAGTGCTGTAGGCATAACAAAGTAAATAGGTTTTCCCTTTCTTTCTCGACTTTAGAAGAGGGAGGGGGGGAGGAGTGAGAATTTCGTTTAGGACGTGTTCCATCGAGTCTGAGAATAAAATCACCCACGACCAGAGTGATGTCTCAAATCCATCCTAGAAACACAACTTCCCCCTAAGTTATGCTAAGGACGTCTTTGGGAATATTGCTTAACACTTTCCATTGGACACGTCCTACGAACGTGATTTTTCCGCCTTGGCATAGTCGTAGTATGCGTCGACAGTGAAGCATCTGTGGTAGAAAAGGGTCCAGCGGGGAACGCTCTTCAGGCTCCTTCGTGCATCTCTTTCGCATCCCCGCGCAAGCCCAAAAAGGGGATCCCCGGGATGTCCACATTTCCTTCGCAGAGAGACTTGGCGACTCCGAGATGAAGCCTGGGGATCTCTGGGATCATTTCGTGGTAATGGGGTCACGAATCACTCCATGCATCATCGAGTACCTCACACTTATGATAGAAATTCATAATCCAGTCGCATGAAATCATGATCATCATTGCGTTGCAATCTGGGACTTCGGTCATTTTTATGCATGCTTAGATATTATGAATGCTTAATTTTAACGTATCCCGTGAGCCCAAACTTGTCCAGCCATGTGAAGACAATTTTTCATTCTTATCTAATGGCTATCATGTGTTAATACTCATCAAATAGCCATCATATTTTTCATGCTTATGTAATGGCTATATTAGGCCGACGCGACTTCCTCGTACCGGTCTTCGCCTCTATCAATGAAGAATTTCAATGATCGAGGGGAAGGGCGGGCCCTCCGGCAAGAGATTTCATTCAGGCTCTTCGCGGATGCAATGCACGCATGAAGACGAGAGGAGATGGAAGCGATAATCCTTTGCGACTGTCCTAGGAGAAAGTGGAATCCACTGTCCGGGAGACTTGCGTGGGTCCGTGCCTGGGAAGAAAATATTTATCTCCGGTCTGATTGCCTTCATATTCCAAACGTCGTGAGACGGGAAACGATGACCGCTGAAAGAGGGCACTGGACGGGGAAGTGCGATTTCTTCTTCTCGGCACTCGGATTTGCAGTCGGTGAGTCCGTCACGTTCACTCGAGGCGTACCAAACACTTCGATAGGTTTTTCCTCAAATTCTTCTCCTTAACCATTATCGGCCGAACGCCACAACTATTGTGCCACAGAATGCATTTTTCCATAACCTAAAGGTACAAGTGCTACACTGCAACATTTTGGGAAAATGTTCTGATACTCCGTCAAGAATGACTTTACTATCAGCAGTTTATTTTTAGGACAGCTGCACTACTCAGCTAGCGAATGTTTAGGAGCTTCGGAGAAAAAATCCGGCTGTCAGCGCTTCTGAGGGAGATTTAGACCCAAACGATAACTGTTAAACCAGACTCCGTGTATCTAATTGTACTCTGGACCTTTTATAAGGTATAACGTAGGTACGCTGGAGACGACCGACTTTTGAGTATAATTTTGAGTATGTTTTAAATACATTCACGTTCGTTAAAAACATTCGTTAAAAACAACGTTAAAAACATTCAGATTTATTGCACGTTCCTTCCGACAGGATTAACAAACATCTGGAAGTTCCCATACCTCTGCTACAAGTATGGAGGAGGTGCATTCCTCCTTCCCTACACCTTCATGCTCTTCCTCGTCGGGATTCCCATGTTTCTCGTCGAATTGACCATCGGCCAATTCTCAGCCCTCACTCCAATCAAGTGCTTTTCGAACATGGCTCCTGTGTTCGCCGGTGAGACGGAATGAAACGGTCGTATAGCATGTAGGAAACCGCATTCGTTATCAATTCGTGGAAATCCTCCGAAGGAATCGGGATCACCTCTTTCCTCGAATCCATCAAGGACATCGTCTCCTACAACATGATCATCGCCTGGTCCCTGTATTACCTCGGCCTGTCCTTCAAGTCGGATCTCCCTTGGACTCACTGCGGTCAAGACCACAACACGCACCGTGAGTCACCCAAGCAGCATGTTCACGTAAACAAGATATCAATTTTNAATACCCTTCGTTTCATTTCATTTTATTTTTCGTCCGGTCACAAGGAGCCTGCTGAGGAAATTGGGAATTCACTTACCTACGCTGTAAAAAATAATGGTTCGAATTAGAACCCTCAGCTGCGTGTACGCTTTCAGAGCGGTTTTCGGTGATCGAGAGACCATTCCAAATGGCGTTAAGTTCACTTCAAAACTATTTGACATAATGAATAATAATATTAACTTGGTAGTTCTTGAACTATTAAGGATGGAGTAGCTCCGCACCACCGACCTTGGCCGGGAAGAACGGATCTCCCTATCGTTCTTCATCAAAAGAATATGATCGCATCTTTAAACAACACGATATTTGACTTTTGCCAAATTGCATTTGGTATTTGACCGTCTGAAAGCACCTATTTCGGACAACCGAATAATGAAATTTCCCTGTTATGCCGAGTTAGGATTTTAAATGCATACCCCATCTTCCTCGGATACAGGGTGTTACAGCGACACGGAGAAACGATTCTGCATAGAACGCAATGATTCAAACGTGTACTTCAACGGGACTTGTTTCGATGCTGCGATTTCAGAGAGGGAAGGAATTTCGGAGATCTCTCCGGGCGAAAGAATCTCAGGTCAGCGAATATCTTACCTCCAATCTGTCACACGACCTTGGATCCATCAAGCCGAAGCAACACGCAAACGAAACTGCATGAACCTCCCATTTTCCCACAGCATCGGAGGAGTACATGAAGCACAGCGTATTAGGAATCACATCTGGTCTGGAAGAACTGGGGACTCTGCAGTGGCGACTGGTCCTGTCCTATTTCGCAGCTTGGGTTTTGATCTTCTTATGTCTTTGCAAGGGGATTCGTAGCTCAGGGAAGGTAAATGTATTCCCAATAGATTTTTTCCATCCCGGGTCTTCTTTTCATTTGATTTCTTTGATTTGCTGCCTTCCCTCCTATCCACAGCGTCTATGACAATAAGTTCATGCAAGTTAGCGGGTCACGAAGGGTTGGACAGCCCACTATTTCGTATCTTTCCCTTTTTCATACCTTTTTTCACAAAGGAGACCCTAATTAGCTTCTTCCCTTGATGCCTCCTATTTGAATATTCACGTAATATGATTGTACAATTTTTGGTTTAAGTGAAATGCTATTAAATTTTGGGAGAAAATGAAGGATAAGGCCAATCGGCCGTCAGTGACGAAATCTTACTGCCAGTTAAACTTTCAGACCTTTTTGCCCCTCTAGATGACCATGGATAATGGACAGCTGCATTACCCAAAATGGGTGAAATTTCTAAGAACATGAAGTTCTTGTGGAAACCGTCGAGTATGCATTCGCATTTGAGAATGGCATATCTGGAATCGTACAGGTGGTGTACTTCACGGCCACCTTCCCTTACGTCGTCATGGTGGCTCTTCTAGTCCGGGGAGTGACTTTGCCTGGCGCTATGGACGGAATCCGCTTCTACATCGTCCCTCAATGGGACAAAGTCATGAACATCAAGGTCGAGATCCTCTTCCTTGCCATTTCTCGATTAGGTCGAGTCTTCACCTCTTTTTGACTTAAGGTTGTCGAGCTCATTTGTGAATGGCCGTACTCACCGCACTCTCTGGAACATGTGTACCCACTTGGGAGCAAACGTAGCCGCCAGATGAGTCACACGCTATGAAATATAACTTTTGGCCTTGGATCCTTTGACCTTGGCTGGCAAGTGTAGCTCTGTCCCAGTAAAAAATAATTCCTTGCTCAATTTACGATAGTCAGAACATGAATAAGAAATCAATTAAGTTAGTCGGAAATGTCTCACGTACTTCGAAGAAAAGAAATTCTCTTATGCTTGTCCCTCGGGGTCGAAGAATTCCACGAATGAAGTTTCAGACCGGAAAAGCGATTCACAAAGATAATTTTGCTTTCGTAGGTTTGGGAGCAAGCCCTGGCCCAAATACTTGGAAGCTTGAGTCTGGGCGGAGGAGGGCTCATCACGTTGGCCTCGTATAATCGGTTCAGGTACAACCTCATCAGGTGCGTCCCTTTCGAGTCAGGTTCTGCGGGTCGCAATTCCGGGTCACAACACTTGCCTATCTAGAAAAAGGTTGACGGTATTTATTTAGAAAAGATATACCGTTAACCCATAAATAAATACTAAAAGAAAATTTTTATATTTCCATCCGACACCGTGAGAGTCTCAAGTGTTTCTATCTCATCACATATCACAAGCGGAAGTTTACGATACATTAATAGGCATCAGATATGCAGGGTGATTATGAACAAAGTGTCCCACTTGTGACACAAACCAAATCTTACAAGCAAAGCACCATCTTAAATCGGTATGGGTTACCTTCAGATGATTTGATAGCTGCTCCGACTATTGAAAGCGAAAGGACAGAAGGGCGGAACTGAGAAATGGGCTGCGAAAGTGTTTTGGGCGACAATTCGTGCTAGTGAAATCATTTGGTGAAGGCTGGTGACGTTCCGAATACGATCAGCATTCTTGCAATTCTCTTGCATCCTCTTGCGAAATTGTCATATTTCATGAGCTGAGATAACTGATGAAAATTCGTTTAAATAGGATTTATTCTGAATTTTTAACATAGTAATAAGCACTTCATTTCACCAATGACCTATCGGTGTTGACCGAATCAAAGCTAGTAGAACATTGGAAGAGGTTCTTGTAATTCACGCTTTGGCCCCTGTGCGATTTCTCATAAAGAAGTAGATCGTAGGAAATCATAGAGCTCAATGATTGCTCAATTAATTGAGCATGCGCATGCCACCTAAATTGCAGGGATACTTGGGCGGTGAGCTTGGGGAACAGCTTCACCAGCATTTTTGGAGGCTTCGCCATATTTTCCACTCTCGGCTTCATGGCACATCAACTGGAAGTCCCCGTCGATCAGGTCAGGCGATCCGTCGAGGCCGGGAAGGCGAATGGGAGGTAGGACTGGAAGGCGTGAAGATCTCTTGCCCTCGGCAGGTCGCGAGGGATGGGACAAGTCTGGCTTTCATCGCGTATCCCGAACTCATTGCCCAACTCCCTGCGTCTAATTTCTGGGCGATTCTCTTTTTCTTGATGCTCATCACCCTGGGACTGGACTCGGCATTCGTCATCGTCGAGAACATATCCAGTCACATCATGGTGAGTTCACTAAACTTGAACGGGAATAGCAAAATCACTAGGTTTGGCGGAGTTTTCGGAGAGCTTTTTGAGAAGGCAGCCGCTGCGAAAAAACTTTAGCAGCAAATACGGCTGTTCCAAGCACAGGTCGACAACAATAGTTCCACCATCTGAGAATAAATGTCTCCCCGTACTTGGGGAATAGAAGTGGGTGGGGAGTAGGTAGTGGAAGCAGAAGGCGGACGATCGCAAAGTGCCGAGATTACTCCCAGTGCCGGCATTCGCAACACTCACGCTATCAGGGCACTGCTTCACTTTTCGACATTTCGTCTGCTTCACGACTTTTTTTTATGAGGCATGCCTGCTTGAGACTGGGATGGTATTACGCACTAATGGTCACAGCCGACCCTTGGGTCGAGGGTTCAGATCCATTTGAGCGTAGAAAGGTAGGCCTAGGTCTTACGTTAGTGAGTCCCAGCTAACACAGGTGTGTTGGTGTAACGTTGACAATGTAATTGGGGTTGTTTCAGTGTTCGAGTGTTCTTCCGTAACATGGAATCAACGTTGACATGAGGAAAAAATGTCCCTCTTGAAAGTGTTCAAAGCAACGTTGGCATAAGAACGTTGAAGAAACGCTATGACAGCGTCCTACGTTCAACACTTCGTCCAACACTACGTCCAAAACTTCAACGTTGTGCGCTTGCATTGGACGAACGTTAAGGAAACGTCGAGACGAATCACATCAATGCGCATGCCCATCTTCTAAGTTTGCTTGAGTGCAGTTTTCTGTCGACTGCATGGATTCCTAGCAAAAATGCTCGAGTAGTACATGGATGAAATAGGAAACAATGAAGCACAGCCATCCCAAAGTGACACATGAACGTTCTCGAAGACGTTCAACCTGGAATCTGATTCACGGATGAGCAGCTTGGGGTGTTCAGTTAAGCTTCCGTTTCAATTCAAATGTCCTTCATGACGTTTCTGAAGGACATTTGCTGAACCTTAAAGAGGCTTTTCTTTTTACAAATCTGTGCTACTTGATCGGGGGTCTGGGGCCTGCAATCTGGCAGTAGCTCGAACAAACGAAGGTTAATGTAACCGAAGCGAGATGGCACCCCAAGTAGCCGATAAAGGGAATTTCATACAGTTGCAATTAGTCCCCGAAACTTTCCACACGGTGCCCGATATTTCTCCACAGACACCACAGGGGAAGACATTTGAATTCTTCAAAAAATTGTTTTCTAAGGAGGTACAGGCAACACAGTTCAGGGAGTCTCCAGGCTCGGAGGACGGAAGGAGAATCCTTCAATTTCCTAGTTGGCTCCATTGGAAGCCAACAGGATTAGTCCATGTCAATGTTAGACAACGTTTTGAGCTGAGCCCAGTGCGAGACGCGCCCGAACCCTCATAAGGAGGTGGTTTCAGACCTGATGGAATTTTCGGCAAATTGGAGCAACCCCGACAACGGATCGAACATCCATTGAGCGTCCCTGGTGATACTAAGGCACGCTTAATTCAATGTCATAGATGAACGTAGGAGTAGTGTTCATCGAACGCTTTCGGGTTTAACGCTGCTTTGAGAGCTTTAAAAAGGGCGTTTCGACGTTGGAGTACCGTTCGCTGCAATGCTGGAATAGCGTTAGAGTTTTTGAAGGGAACGTTCCACAAGCGTCTTTCCAAAAAGCTCTCATGTTTGTTGGGTAGAGAAGCGATGGAAGGGAAACGGATGGGGGGGGGGGGGGGTGGGGGTGGAGGGGGGGGGGGGGGGGGGGGG